TCTAAAAGGAGCAACAAAATTTGAAAAAAACCGGAGATAAAATTGTTTCTTACTCGGATCGTGTAACTGCTATGTCTTGGTTAAACTTGGCAGCCGAAACAACTAATACAACGCTGATTAATATAAATACTAAAATAATGTTTAAATAGTAATAACCAAACGACTTTGGTAGTAAAAGAGAGAGGTTCCGAATTCGAGCATTATGAATGTCAAGTATATGAGCGTTCAATATCAAATAGCGGAATCTGAAGAGTTATCCATGAACAGATACTGCCTTGTACTTATCCCTAATTAATCAAAAAAATGTTCTGATGTTTCTATCCTGTGCAAGTTTCATCAGTCGGACAATTGAATTCGTTCATGTCATAGCATGATATTTCCCATACATGCAGCGACACCGGAAAATATTTGGCCGAGAATATATCAGTCCCCTTAGGAGAACCATCAATGCCGCCACAGATGATACTAAGAGGATAAGTGGAGGGATGATAATATTGAGCATATGCATCTCCAAAAGAACAATTTGATCTTAGAAGTTTTAAGCACAATTTCTATTAAGAAATAGTCTAAATCTACATAGAAAGGGGGCAAAGTTGCATACATTCACCACGGGAGCCTTTGTTTGCAACATGTATCCTGTAAATGGGGTGCATGAGCAAGTTTCTTCTTACAAAACTGGAGTCAACCCCTAAGAAACCGTCCCCAACCCAAGCTGGATCACTTCAAAACGGTATGGTATAATAAATGTCTTATGAACGAGGAAAACCAGCCGTTTGGCAAAGTAATACGAGGAAGAAAGAATTTCATGAGAAATCAATATAAAAAAGTTCAGAAGGTTATTTCAACTTCGGAGGCATTTTTTTCGATGGCTTTGAAGCTCTTCCATTGATTGCAATATTCCCCACTCCAGCCTCCATGGACTCTCTGTCATTCTTCTCTTTCCTTTCCTTTTGAGATGTACTGTCACCTATCCACTGTTCATGAACTGTTGTGGAAGGTTCTAGCAGTCGAGGGCCAGCACTGATCCATGGATGGTTGAGGCATTCAGCAGCAGTGGGTCTATTTTCAGGGGCAAAATCAAGTATTGGAACGAGGAAGTCAGCCATGTCCGTAGCATCTTGCTCGCTAAAATCATACTTTTCCATAAGGACCTTATTGAGAGGCCAGAAACGTAATCGGCGAATATGCCTCAAGTCTCCATGTCTGTTGAAAAAATCCCGACAGTAGCGTCCACTTAATGCAATCTGGAGAAAATTGTTGAACACTCGGTGAGATTTACAGCCACAATACCTTAAACTACAAGGTTTATAGTGTAAAGCATTCGAATATTAACTTCATTCCCTTGAAACAAAGGGAGGATGACAAATTCATTCCTTCGTAAGGCATGTGTTGTTTATACCTTGCGTGGCATCACTCCAAGAAGCTCCATCATCAATGCCAAGTGATCCTGGAAATGAAAGATGTACGTCAAGACAAAAAGGTGACAATAAAATCTGCAATGGCCTACAGAATGGTTGTCCCTTGTTCCCATATGTAATGGGGGTAAGGGGGAGGTAAGATAGTAGGCTGCCCCCAACACTAGGTTGAGAGCAGCTTCCGTAGGAGACCTCCAAATTATGAAATGTTAACTGGACATAATTACTATTGGAAAAAAATGAAGGGTTGGGCTCATCTCAATTTATGGTGGTCTTTCGATTTCTATGAAATTCTTATGGTTTTCACCGTTGCAGAAATGGAAAACAAGTAGGCAGTCACATCGCTAGTAACATACAGAAAGCTTACTCCAGACATAAAATAGAAGCAAACTGCAAACCTTATTTATTGTACATCTAAAGCTAATGAAAATTTATTTCTCCTGTCCTTTTTCAAGGAGGTAAAGGTGTATGGATTATTGGATACTTCATATGTAAACGAATGCAAATCAGAACAATCTTAAAACGAAAACAAAAATGCATCAAGCCATACGAGGTCTGGTATTCACTATGGTGCAAAAATGTTCTACAGAAGATGCTGATATTAACTCAAATAGTACATGACCATCATACATGAGTAACCACAAGGTCCACCATAGTTGGGACTTGGGACTAAGAGGCACACAAGACTAAGTATCCAATGAATTAAAACATAAATGCAAGAATGAAAGTAAAATGGCTTCTGCACCTCATCTCGATCGTAGTCTTCACCACTGTGAGGATCAAAAAGAACATCACCAGTAGCCAGTTCAAAACAAATACAAGCAAATGACCATAAGTCAGCTGAAGTTAAATACTTGGATCCAAGGATAATCTCAGGACATCTATACTGCCTGGTTTGAATATCATTGGTAAATTGTTTATAAGTCCAGCACGCATTGCCAAAATCGACCAGTTTACATTTAAGATCAGCTTCAGCCAACAGTCTTTTCCTTGTTGCACGGCTCCCCCTTCTATGTCTTTCCTTTCTTTGGTTACCATTGTTGATTCCATCACTCCTTGCATCATCTTTAAACACAGAACTTTTTGGCTGTCCTTCACCACAAACTTCATTTGATTTCACATCAGCATCAATGTCTTCTGTACCACCAGTCTTGTAATCTGTCTCAGTTTCCTCCAAAGGTTCCTTTCCGACACAATCTCGAGCTGCCTTCTTAGCCTTCTTACGAATCTTCTTTTTCTGATTCCTTGTCAAATCTCCATTCGAACTTTTTATTTCTTTTGAAGTGACGGTCTCTACGACAACCTTATCCTTCCTATACGGAAGGATGAGAGATGCACCAGATTTCCTAGGATCTCTTGATGGATCGATCATTGACAACAGCAACACATTCTCTGGCTTCAAATCAGTGTGAATGATTGAAAGTTCATGGTGTAAATAATCGAGACCCATCAAAATATGACGGCAAATCTCTTTAACCATGTGAAGTGGAACCCCCCCCCCCCTCCCGATAATCACTGTATTTAATAAGGGTCAAAAGGTTATCCCCCAAGTACTCAAAAACCATACACATATGGTTCCCATTAGGCCCCGAATGCTTAAAATGATCCAAGTGCTTCACGACACACTTTTTATCGTCCGGATCTCCCTCAGCTATCTGTTTGAGGATCTTTATCTCGTCCATTGCTGCCTCAGTGTAATGCTGAGCACTCTTTTGAATCTTCAAAGCTACATAACGCTACAAACAATAAATTCTCATCCAGTTAACAAGTCGAACCATGGAAATCAAAAGGCAAAGGCTGATCCAATTTTACATTACGATGAAATTAAGGAACAAAGAATCTTATAACCTAAACAAGTAACAGAACCATATATAATCAGCAACAAGAATCATAATGGAAATGTCTGAAGTAGAGAACTAAATGTAAAAAGGATAAAAATTATCTCTCATGGGAAAATGAAGGGCATCTGAAGCTCAATTGCAAGGAGGCAAATCTTGGACTCTTCACAACATTAGCTGCAGAAATAAGACCCTTCAATTAACCAAGAGCAATGCCCATTCCAGCATCTTTTACAATGACATCTTTCAATGTTCTTATACACCCAAATAAGATATTCCATAAGAAAATTCAAAAGTATCCCATTTTCCCCTCTAAAATAACAATTCACCTTACTAACGACTTACCAGATTAACCAACTTTCCATATAAAAGATAAACTTTTACCATAAGAAGTAAGAAGGGGCAATGAGAAGCTGAAAAGCAATAAAGAGAAGAGGGAAAATACCGATCTTTGAGTATCCCAAGCGAGCCAAACGGTGGAGAAATGACCCCAACCAAGCTTGTTCTGAATCACAGAGCAACCATTCTTGAAAGTGTCACCGATACGCACCGCATGGTACCCTCCTTTTCTGTAATCTTCAGTCCCTTCATCTTCCGATGAGTAATCACTGTCTTCACTTCGATCTCCATTCTTATCCTCAGCCATCTCCAAAACAAATTGGGTATTGAAATCTAAAGGTTCCGATTAAATTCAAATGAGCTATCAGAAGGCTGAAGAGAGGGACATGATCAGAGGAAATTAGGGTTTCTGGGGAAATTTGCAGGTAAAATGACATAAAAGGAGGCCACACAGAAGGTTGTGATGGCCCTTATAAGCTTTGGGGACTTGTTGGGGAAGTGTTCTTGTGGCTTGAGCTTCACGCGCGAAGACTTGCGTCTTTTCTTTAGGTTTAAGTGAGGAGGTTGAGTTTGTCCTAAAAATTTGTGTACCATACCATCTTGGGTCCCACGCTTTCCCTTATTGGCAAAGTCATTCTTTTCGTTATTTCTTCCTACTGAATTTAACCATCTAACTATATTCCTTTTTTATTTTAATTATTTTTATTCTCAGTTATTTAAAAAATGACACGTAATAAATTTTATTATCAGTAATATAAATAAAACACACATATGATATATTACTGATAACTATACAAGAAGGATCATGGTCAACTTCACCCCTAGATGCAACGTTATTTCAATTGTCTACATAATCTTCTTGTTGCACAACTTGTACAGATATCTTACAATCTAAATCTGGAGATACAAGAAAGTCTCCGATGACCCCTAGCTCAGGGAATTCGCTCCAGTCCGATAAACCCATTGTTTGGACCGAATCCACCCCGTAGCGTCTACCTACAATGATCAAATCATAGTAACCCGTAATCGATTGAACGATCCTCGATGCTTGCTGCCCATGTTTCGATACTTGTACTATATACCTTACCCCGCAACCATTACTATCTTCGTTTTGCTTGCTATCAGCATCCAACATCGTGTCCCAGTCCACGACATTCGTGCGGTCTTCATCAGCAATGAGATGGATCACGGTCAGCTCAACTCTAGGGTCACGGGCAATTCGTTTGGCTAATGTTAAAGCCTCTCGGTCGTCTTTACCACCTAAGAAGATCATTCCAATCGAGTAGGTTGAGGTCGATGACGCCAACGATTTTCTCCTCCAGTCGACGAGGATTCCCGTGGAGCAAGGGGCTCGGTCCAGGACGTTGCAATTCATGTTCCTTATCGCATTGTTGTCGGATTCAATAGATCATTTTCTATGGAATGGAAGAAGTATGAAGGATGCTTGCTTGTCGAGTGCTAGAGTGCATACATCCTCATGGATCAGTTCACTCGGAGAGATTGCCGTGAATGCGTTCACTGTGACCATTCCCCAATTGTTTTTCTCATAATTATTGAAAGCAACAATATGGTGGAAGGAACCGGCAACTCGGTTACCGTCCTTTTGGTGAGCGATGAAGACCAGAGAGGCTCGACCAACTAGTTCAACCAGGTGCAAGGCGTAAACAACATTAGGACTCTCTTTCGTAGGGCATGCGATATCAAGCACATCGACCAAGGCCGAGACATGTTCAGTTCTATGAACACATGCAACAACTCGTAGCTCAGAATCTGGTTTTAAGTGCATTATGTTTCTTTGCTGATAGCATGCGTATTTTCTTAAAACAGGGTCGTAGAGATACTTCACCAGGATTGGGATTATAGTTGCATTTACTAGAATGGAAAGGGTCAACACACTAAAAGTTGCATCTGACAAAACCTGAGGGAAGCAACGAAAAGAAGATTAGTGTTTTGTTAAGAAAAACACCAAATACAGACGCATGAATTCAACTGAGATCGATGTTGATTCTGATGACCTCACTGTCTTTGAAAGTGGAGAAATATGAGAGTTCCACAATTAATGCCTTTGCTGCTCATAATGAGAGCAAATGCCATGTAGTCTCTCAATGGAATCCTGCTCCAACAAGATGCTACGAAACACGATGTAAATTTGGCAAAGAATGTGGCAATCACAAAAACGCATGTAAATTTGACTGCAGACGGATCAGCCAACATCTTCTTTGGATGAACTCTCATCGCAGAAGTGGTTACGTAGATTACTAGAAAGATACCATTGGCTAAACAGTCAAACTTTTCTACCAGGGTAGATCCTAGTGGCGGTCCGTCGGGGACAGCTAAACCAATGAGAAAAGCCCCGGGTAAAGGAGTATGATCGAGCCAATGGGTGAACATACCAGATGCTAAAGCTAACATCACGATGATCATAATGTACACTTCCTCGACCGGCCAGCCTTCGGGTGTTGTTCTAATTACCCAAAACATCCACGGACGAACCACACCAAAAAGAAGAACTAAGAAAAAGATCGTTGATCCTGCCCGCCCCACAGCCAATGACGGTGACACAACCCAACATCGTACCAAAGAAAAGAATTCACATAGAACTAAGTTGCTCAAGTCACTTACGGCTGTCGCCGATAGGGCCAGTCGTCCCAGCTCTGAATTTATGATCTTGAGCTCGCCGAGTAGCCAAGCGGCGACTGAAAAATATGTCACGGATTCAGTGATTGTCCCCACCAAACGTTCCATTCCTATCCTTCACTTTGATTAGGCATTCCGTAGGCCTCTTGAACAATTATACTAACCACAAGAGGGCATAAAAGAGATACAATGCCAATTCTCTTTACTGAAAAAGCACTCTACCTTCCAAAATTCCATCTGTCGATAGAAAATAAGGCGGCACCATGAATAGACCGTCCCTTCTAGAGTTGATCATCGCCCCACTCTAGATGATTACAACCCCTCTAACTAACAAGAAATTAAACCATATAACATTTTCACCTTTGATCAAAACGAATCGAAGGTAAAGCAAAACTCATTTCTCTAATTTACTTCGTCATCAGACCTGATAACTCCTGATTCATACGAATGCAAGACATAATTTCATCCAAATCTCACATCACTCAAGGATTGACTTAGCCTCACATCTCAACCCTCCATCTTCATCAATCCTGTTAAAAAAAACTCCTGCGCTATCGAGAGGTTCCAAAACCCATGAAAAGGCACCCTTGCAAGTAACACCATTGCACGAATCACCATCTTTAAGCAAAGAAAATCACTCTGCTAGTGTACCATGATAATGCATCATTTCTATAAATCCATTCTCAAGCAAAGAAACACGTGATAAAACTCCCTAGTCCCAACAAGTATTCTTCTTAATAACTAGCCACCCATATAGGCCACACCATCCCAGGGCCGGCTCTGGGCAGGGGCAAGAGGGGCACCCACGGACTATAATTTTAATTTATATTAATTTATTATATTTTAATAAATTAAATTAAAAACAAGGCCCATAAATATTAATATATTATTTTCTTAATTAATGCAAGAGGGCCCATAAACTTAGTTCTTATTGATTTATTTTTCTCATCACAACGTTAAAAATTATATTAATATATTAAATTAAAAGCAGGACCCATAAATATTAATAAACTAAATTAGAAGCAGGGCCCATAAACTTATTTTTTATTGACTTATTGTTCTCATCATAACGTTAAAAACTAAATTAATCATAATGTCAATTTTGAAAACTATAGAAATAAGGGGTTTGAAGCTAGTATAGTTATTGCTAAAAGTCATGCATTAGAGCAGTTAATTATTTTTAAAGTTAATTATTTTGTTGATGTTGATATGGCGGTTGCTTCTTTGAAAGATTGATTTGAGCGGTTAAAGATTTTTGAAAATTATTTTGGATTTTTAATTGATTCTACAAGGTTGAAGTCATTGGATGACAATAAATTAAAAGAATGTTGTAATAATTTTAAGATTATTTTTTCTCATAATAATTTGTCGGATGTTGATGAAGATGATTTTTTTCCTGAAATGAAAGTGTTGCAATTGACTTTTCCACTTGAAGTTCTTGAGTTTGTTAAAGCTAGAGATTGTTATCTTCATGTTTCAATTGCTTATCGAATCTTATTAACAATGCCGGTAACGGTAGCATCCGCGGAAAAAAGTTTTTCAAAGCTGAAATTATTGAAGAGTTACTTGAGGTCAACAATGTCACAAGAAAGATTGAATGGGCTAGCTATGTTATATATTGAGAAAAATATGTTGGAAAATATTGATGTTGACACTATCATCAATGATTTTGCATCAAGAAATGCTCGAAGGCAATGTTTTTTTTCTAATTATTTATATGCTTGAATATGTTTTTGACATTTTTGATATTGTAATGAATTAATATTTATTTAATTTAATAAAAAATAATTTAAATTTTACATTGCATATTTTTTTTAATATTCCTTTAAATTATGGCCAATTTTTTAAATGAGCACCAACCCCAAAAGTAACGTTCAACAAGATAAGAAAACACCCACAAAATATATGGCAGAGACTATTCACTGAAAGAGATTTTCATCAACAAAACAACGGCTTTCATTTCCCCTATTCTTCATATTTGATGTCATAAATTAGAATTTTGCAATCTATGCCCCAATAGTTCATTCCATAATCGATCTGTTTCGATAATAAGTATGATGCAAAAGCACAAACAATCGTGACAACCATACCTGATTGATGTTAAAAGCCTTTCAAATTGATGAGTCTGGAACCGGTGATCGAGCTCTCCACTATTATTATTATTTTCATTTTTTATGCTAGTTTTGGTTGTGTTTATCTTTTACCACCGACACTGATACCGTTTTAGATCTTCTATGTTTTTTTTTTTGAATTACAAGGAGAACTAACGAAAAAGGCTTAACAGTTCACTGCTGCCTGCGCATCCTCCAAAAGCAAGCTCGCTATCTTCACCTGTGGCTCAAGCAACTCTCGATCATCCAGGTTACCATCCTGAGCGAGACGCGCTAATCTATCTGCAACTCGATTACACTCCCTTGGAGCAATATCTTCTATTTTTTTATTTGTTTGGTTGCTTTTTTTTATTATTCTTGTATAGTTCTATTTTCACTGTCTAGAGACTAATTTGTATTATTTGTTGATTATAAGAGAAATTGATGATTAATATGATTGGTATACTTTATTTTTTATAAACTTTTTTTTATCAGATTATAGTTTTATTATATTTCCTCTTCACTTTCCAATAAAACTTATTACTTAAAAATATATTAACTCAGTTCGGAATAAACCAAAAAATAAAATAAAATACAATTTAAGATAGTTATTTATTTTACTATTATGAAGGAATTTATTTCACTTTGGAAAAAAAACACAAGTCATATGATCGGGTCAAATTTAAAAATATTTTTATCAAAATGATATAGTTAATAGTTCCAAATTTTTAAATATTCATTTTTATTTTCTTAAGTATAGCATACGCTAGGGCGACTGTAACACCCTCAAACCGATGCAGGTGATCCAATCTAATCTGGAGTGTCACATTAAGGCCACCGAAACGACCCACAGTAAAAATCTACAAAAATTTAAAATTTTTGTTGAATCATTTCCAATGTAAAACAATTTATAAATAAAAACACATATTCAGTAAAGTCAAACGTCAAAACAATATACAGACCCAATATAAAATCAAATGACCTACATGTATCGTACTCTGCAAGCAACGCCGAATGAACTCTCATTACTGATGTCGATAGTGCACAAGATCTACTCATTTAGCCTGAAATGGTAAGTAACAGAGTGAACTTTGGGAAAGCTTAATAATACAATACTACAAAAAGATACTGAAAGACATGCAGATAAATGACAAAACAGTTCAGAGGAAACGTTCAGAGGAACATATTCAGAAGATTAAAAACGAATGTCTAGTGTGTTCTCCAAAACCATAAATCAATATAAACATAGTTTAAAAACAGTAGAATTTTATTTTAGTAAAACAAATTTTTAAAATCATTGTAATACCCTCCGCCCGAACCTTGGTATGCAGTTCTCCATAACTGCATTCATAAGGACTTACCTTATGCCCATTGTGCATAGGAACCAACCTAAGGGAGTAATGAGGGTGGTTCGCATATAAGATATAAAAGGAATGGGTTTTCAGCTTTTTAGTTTTTAACTATGGGCAAACTACATTATTAGTCCCCAACTTCTAATTCATAAAACTCTTATCACTTAACCACAATTTTCTTGGGCCTCAACTCAAGCCCACTAACACTAAATTTGGTCCAATTGATTTATAAAGTCTTTTGGACTTAACTTTGGATCTCAGATTGACTCTAACTACTAACTGGGATTCGAGGTGTTAATTACTAACACTAAAATGTTTTTCAAAATAAAGTTTAGACTCTTATTTTTTTTATTAAGCCCTTTATCAATTAGCTTAATAGAGCATATAGAAGTTTATTTTGAGATTTACGACATTTGCTACAGTATTCAAGGAAATCGTCACGTAGGTTTCATTTGGGCCATGCTATTCTAAATTCTTTAAACCAAACAATAAAAATAAATATTCATGCAAGAATCAAACACATGGTTAATGAATTGTCGGAACCGCCTTTCGGGTGGGCCTGAAATTGGGCTTCGACTTGAATAATTGGGTTAGGAGTCGCTACCGACCATTTTAAAATGAATTTTGGTGAGTCGGACACCATCTTACCTGATTTACGTTTTACCATAAATGTGCCGGGTTCAGGAGTCGATTACAGCCAAAGAATGATTAGCACCCTTGTACTGCCCTTTCGGTACCAATTAATTTGTCGGTTGTCTTTAATTGCGAAAATTAAAATTTTAAAAAAAATCAATTCAGAATAATTACTTTTGATCAATTGAAAATATCCCTAAAAAGTCAAAAATACTGTTAGATTGTAAAGCATATATATATATATATATATATAAATGATAAAAAATATTAATATAATAACAATAATAAAATAAATAATAAATAAAGATAATAAGATTGAGTAAAAAAACTAAAAAAATAAAATAAAAAAAGTAAATAAGATAAAACAAGCAAATGTAAAAGTTTGTTACCCAATTCCATGGCCACACTTCATTTCTACTGTACGTGTCACATTTACAATATGAAATTCCAATTAATTTGAGCCAACCTTTCCTTTGTTTCTTCAACACTTAGTCCATAAAGTGTTTCACAGTAACCCGAGTAGGTAATATAATCACATCATTATCTCGGCGCTTTGATTCTTCAAGAGGGGGCAAAACAACCACGTCATGGAGGAGGAAGTGGTGTCTCTTTCGGCCATTATGGAGCTGATCACCATATCCCTCACGACTTCTTCGTGGCCAGCTAATAACAGCCGGGAAAGGAGATCTTCACCGCACCCAACGGCGGCGACACTTTTGGAAATACTCGATCTTAAAGCGTTGAATCAAGACATGGTACGATCCCAGCACGAGTAAACCGGATAATACGACTAAAACAAGAGTATACTGAAGATAATACGCAACTCCAAGACCCAAATGCCCTAATTGTTCCACGACACCAAGACTCTGGAGGGCACTCACATTGAACAAGATGAATAACACTAATATGTGGGAACGCTGAAGTAATCACCCTCCAATGAGGCCTTCCACGGCGGTTTCGTAACTTAAACCGACATGCTGATAACCAATGTTCTTTTGTATGTAAAACCAAACTGCACTACAAATTCCTATTACACAACTAGTAGCTGGTTTCTCCAATATCTCATAAATTAATGGCTTCCCCATGTCTACAAATCTCCTCCAATTTCCCTATCATTTGCACTTTATTCAATCAAAGCATCAAAACCCAGAATTTCAATCCACATAAAATTTCAAGAGCCCAGCATAAAATTCATCAAAAAGATCCTTCTTCAACCCAGATCATTCACAAAACGAAAAAAACCAGATCTAAAATATCCAGTACTTCCCAAATCCTAATCGCTTAAACGCAGAAAAAAATAAAAAGGATATGGGTTGTTCCAGAGTCGATCAATAGACTTGTTCAAGCAAGAAAAACATGGGAAAAACGAAGAGGGAGATGGGTGATCTTACTTTCTCAGCTCTTTTTGTTAATCGATTCAGGTTCTTCGGCAGCCTTTCTAAATACTGCTGCTGCTTATTTACTTTACCAATAGGAGATGAGAGAACGATTCCCTGAGTTTCTTCTCTGACCTGACGTTAAGTGCTCTCTTTAATTTCCACACCACGAACATTGGCGCCATTCCTCGCATGGCGAATACCTCCGACACCATATAAAACGCCTTAACGAGTGGCGATACCGGTTTCGAAAGATCCAAGCAACAAGGATCGTAACCCAATGACACTTTACCCACACTGTCGAACGCAAACATCCGAAACACGTCCTGCAAATCAATAGCTTCATCAGTTTCCGCTGCCGATTCAAACAACGGAGCCAGCCAGTCGTCGACTTCTTCTTGGAGCATTTTCACCACGCCGTCTCTCAAAGATTTTAGTGCTAAACTTGTGGCTCGCCCCTCCCCCCTTTGAATGACAAATCCCAGGAGAATTTAAAGGAGAAGAAGGAGATCTTTGCATCTGTTTAATGTCAAGAGGAAGTGGCGTTGTTGGTAGTTGAGGTTATGGACGGTTGTGGTAGTGGAATGGTGGAGAGTTCGTTGGAAATGGGGTTGAACATGTGTCCTACAAAATTAAAATAATAATAATAAATAAATAAATGTTTTAAAACCATATAATATATAGTTTAAAAAATATTTTTTAAAATTATATATTATACGTATTTTCAAAAACCGTTTGCAAACTATAATATATATATGTATAAAATAAAAAAATATGGACGAAAATGAGTGTCTGAATAAATTTTCAATATATTTGAATTTGACATAATTTAATATACATAATTTTGTTGTTTCCCAATTAGAACAGATGCCCTGCTACTTATATCTATGGATGACGGGAAATTCACTCAATTCCGATAAACACGTCGTTTGTACTGAAACCATCTCGTGGAGTCTACCAACGATATCAACTCATAGTCATTCACAATTGATCGAACGATTCCCAGACAGCTTCACCCCTAGATGCAACATTAGTTTAGTTTACATAATTCTGTTGTTGCACAACTAGTACAGATATCCTACAATTGAAATCTGGGGATGCAAGAAGGTCTCCGATGACCCCAAGTTCAGGAAACTCGCTCCAGTCCGATAAGCCCTTTGTTTCGACCGAATCCACCCCGTAGCGTCTACCTACAATGATCAAGTCATAGTCACCCGCAATCGATTGAACGATCCTCGATGCTTGTTGTCCATCTTTCGAAACTCTTGTTATATACTTTAAACCGCAACCATGACTATTGTCATTTTGCTTGATATCTTTCAATGTCTCAGCATCCAACATCCTGTCCCAGTCTATGGCATTCCTGTAGTTTTCATCAGCAATGAGATGGATCACGGTCAGCTTAACTCTAGGGTCACAAGCAATTCGTTTGGCTAATGTTAAAGCCTCCCGGTCGTCTTTACCGCCTAAAAAGATCATTCCAACATTGTAGGTTGAGGCCGACGACGTCAACAATTTCCTCCTCCGGTCGATGAGGATCCCTACTGAGCAAGGGGCTCGGTCTAGGACGTTGCAATTCATGTTCCTTATCGAATTGTTTTCATCTTCAATAGATCCGTCAATAGACCATTTTCTATGAAATGGAACAAGTATGAAGGATGCTTGCTTGTCAAGGGCTAGAGTGCAGACATCCTCATGCATCAGTTCACTCGGAGAGATTGCTGTGAATGCATTCACTGTGACTGTTTCACAATTGTTCCTCTCATATTGATTGAAAGCACAAATGTGGTGGAAGGAACCGGCAACTTGATTTCTGTGCTTTTGGTGAGCGATGAAGACCGGAGAGTCTCGACCGACTAGTTCAATCAGGTGCAGGGCGTAAACAATGTTAGGACTCTCTTTCGTAGGGCATGTGATATCAAGCACATCGACCAAGGCCGAGACATGTTCAGGTCTATGAACACATGCAACAACGCGTAGCTCAGAATCGGGTTTTAAGTGCATTATGTTTCTTTGCTGATAACTTGCATATCTTCTTGAAACAGGATCGTAAAGGTACTTCACCAGGATTGGGATTATAGTTGCATTTACTAGAACGGAAAGTGCCAACACACTAAAAGTTGCATCCGACAAAACCTGGGGGAAGCAATGAAAAGAAGATTAGTGTTTCGTTAATAGAAACATAGTATAGAGACACGTGGATTCAACTGAGATCGATGTTGATTCTGATTACCTCACTGTCTTTGAAAGTGGAGAAATATGAGAGCTCCACGATACCTTTGCTGCTCATAATGAGAGAAAGTGCCAAGGAGTCCCTCAATGGAATCCTGCTCCAATACGAAGCCACGAAACATGATGTAACTTTGGCAAGGAATGTGGCAATAACAAAAATGGATGTATGTTTGACTGCAGACGGATCAGCCAACATCTTCTTTGGATTAACTCTCATTGTAGATCTGGTTACATAGATTACTAGAAAGATACCATTGGGTATACCGTCAAACTTTTCTACCAGGGCAGATCCTAGTGGCGGTCCATCGGGGACAACTAAACCAACGAGAAACGGCCCGAGTAAAGGACTACGATCGAGCCAATTGGTTAACATACCAGATGCTAAAGCTAACATCATGATGATCACAACGTACACTTCCTTAATCGGCCTGCCTTCGGGTGTTGTTCTAATTACCCAAAACATCCAAGGACGAACCACATAAAAAAGAAGAAAAAAATAAAAAATCGTTGCTCCTGCACGCCCCACAGCCGATGATGGTGACACAGCCCAGTGTCGTGCCAAAAAATAGCATTTATATAGTAATAAGGTTCTCAAGTCACTCACGGCCGCCGCTGATAAGGCCAGTCGTCCCAGCTCTGAATTTAGGATCTTGAGCTCGCCGAGCAGCCATGCGACGACTGAAAAATATGTCACGGATTCAGTGATTGTCTCAACTACACGTTCCATTGTTATATATTCACTTTGATTAGGCAATCCGTAGGCATCATGAACAATTATACTAACAACAAGAGGACATAAAAGGGAAACAACGCCAATCACTAGGGCTCTCCTTGTTGTAGTGAGTGCCAACCTCACGTCCATTTTCACTCCCATCAGAAACAAAATATGGCGAAACCAAGCCCTGCTGTAGTATCAATGACTTCTAATACTAATTTATTTGAATAAATATGTCTCGGAATCTTTCTACTTCCCCCAGCACTGCAGGCCCCATGATCATGCCAGCCTAGTCAGCAAAAGTTGAACGGAAGATATTAGTCACAAATCAAGGTAGGCTCTCGTTTGCTTTCCATGCAGGGAAAACCAAGATATATATATATAGAGAGAGGGAGAGAGAGAGAAACAAGGGTGTAAGAAATTAATTAACATACAAACATTTGTGAGGCAAACATGGTGATTCCAAGAGGCTTGAGGATGGCATAAATGAGATGGGTGACCACGAATGCCAAGAGCACCTGTAACTCAAAAAGCGGTAATGAATACGTGAGAATCGCCGAAGGAGAAGCCAAGTTTTCCCAGATGCCGACAGAATTGACCTTGGGCGGCAAACGCAAGCAAACATCGAATGTCTCGTTCCTATAGGGAAGAGGTGGTGCTTCAGCCATGACGATCTTAATGAAGGGAACGTATGAGAATTGGATGTAATGTTATCATCAGGCTTCAAATACCAAGTTAAAAACACTTTTCTTCGTTTTGTTGTTAATGTTAACGATTTCCGGTTGTTTTAACAAGATTTTGGGCCAACTTGTTCTTCGATATATTTACTATGTATATACAGTTTTGGGTTGGCTTTCCTCTTAGTCGGACTAAACCTTTGAAAATTAGAAGTCATATTTACCGAAATAGATCGACAGTTAGGGTTATTTACTATGTATATACAGTTAGGGTTGTCTAAAACAGAAAGATTTGACATTCAATAACCAACATAATCCACTTATTCCAATCAACAATTTCCAGAAAATGCAATCATTAGGAATAATTTTGATTGAAAATATGGGTCCGTTTGGTTATAAAAAATATTTCTATTTTCATTTTATGATTTTGTTTTTAGAAAATAATTTTTGTCGTAACCGGTTTTCGTCGAGGCACGAAATTTTACTTGGCGGAAAAAATAATGTGAATAAATGAATGTTTTTTATTTAAAAAAATACTTTGGGAGTCGCCATCAATCTTTTTGGGTTAGGTAGGTCGAATATCTAAAAATCATCTTTTAAAATAGTTTTTAGGAAAACATTAGTTAAAAGATAAACTGGTATGTGTTTAACTAAAAATTCATTCTTTTTAGAAATAAAAAGGGATTCGTGGTCGGTTACGTTTGGGGAAGGATTAGCACCCCACAACGCCCAAAATTAGTACATGTTGATTATAAATTGTCTCTAATAGTAGAATTTAAGAATTCGAATATGAATTTAATTTATAATCGTGTTATTTCAAATTTGATATGATATTTCTAAGGAAAAAATATTAAATATATATACATATATTTAGGGTTTTGTAAATAGGATATTTATTTATTTAAAAATATCAAAAAAGGACATCTAGTTGCTTTAAGACTGTCTTTTCTTTAATATTAATAAATAAATAATTATTAATAATAAAATAATAATTTTCCTAAAAAATAATAAAACTAAGTAAATATATATATACATTTATAAGTATGATATTTATTTATTTTTAAAATACTAGAATAGGACATCTAGTTGCCTTAAGACTGTCATTTCTTAATATTTGAAAAAAGATAAATAAATATTAAAAATAATAATTTTCCTAAGAAAATAATTTAAATAAAACATGTATTTTCTGGTTTTTATAAGTAGGATATTTATTTTTAAAATACCAGAATAGGACATCTAGTTATATTAAGACTGTCCTTTTATTTGATATTAAAAATAAGTATTGAAAATGTAATAATTTTTCCTTAAAAAATAATATTTAAATTAAATATATATTTATACGTTAAAATAATATTTAAAGTATTGATTTAAACATAATAAAATTAAAAGGATAATAATATAAATTAAATTAAAATGTAATTAAACATATGATTAAATAAAACAATGACAAAATAAAGAAAACTAAAATTATAGGATTAAAATATAAAATATAAAGATTAAAAATTAAAAAATTCTAATTCGAATTATTTAAAAGACATGCATTAGAATGATAATTTAACCTTAATTCATAATTCGAGATTAAAATAATAATTACTAAACTGTAAGGGACTAAATTCGGTATTTACCCTAAATATATATATGAACTGATAATGATTAAATTATAAAGAAAATAAAATTAAAAGACAAAATTTAAAACCCGTATTTAAATTCACGGTGGCCGGAATTCGTAAAAATAACCCCAAATTTCTCTTTTTTAACCCTAAGGTTAACTATAGCCTCCTTTCGACCTAAAACTCTCTAGATTTCCCTAGATCTAAAATAAATCGAAGGTTTTACCTTTGGTTTTATAATGATTCTGGTGGTTCCACGGCGGTTTAGAGGTTTCTACGAGGGTAAGATGCTCATTTTCCTCTTCTTTCTGGTTGCTGGTGGTTGTTTCCCTTATTTTTCTTGCTGTCGTTTTTTCTTTTCTGTGGTTGCTCTCGGTTTTACTTTTTCTCGTTGCTGTCTCCCCCCTGTTCTTTTCTTTGCAGATGGTCGATGGCCTTTATAGGTCTCATCAATGTCCTCTTCAGACTAGTTAAAAGATGGAAGCCTTAGTGAGTTACCAAAGTGTTGAAAACATTTTGATATTTCGATATAACAAATTAAGATAAATGAATTTTAAGATTTTTCCAAAAAGAGTTTCTAAGTATATTCGATATAATTATTTGAATATCAAAATATTACTCCAAAATCAAAATATTACTCCAAATCTTTTAAAAGTCATTTTTTAATCCTCACTCAAGTGTAAAATTAAGTTTTAGTCTTAAAATAATTTCAAAACAATTTTACAAAATATTTCGAACCATTTCAAAGCCAAAAATTCCAGATTGCTCAGAGGGTATCGATTCCCCCCAAGGGGTACCGATTCCCCCCTAAAGGATTTGGCTCCGAGAATTCCAGTATGCTCGGAGGGAACCGATTCCCCCTATTCAACGGTCAAAATATTTGAATTTTATACTTAGGGAACCGATTCCCCATTAGGGGTACCGATTCCCCCCACGCTCCAAGCTGTTGTATTAATGGTTTTCACACTTAAACGACTCCATTGACTCCACTAATCATCCCCAACGTTCAGAATCAATTGAGGGAGTATTTAAACAAGTTTTGAAGCCTTTGATCAAGAAGAAATCATAGAGAAACAAGAGAGAAAGCATCAAACACCAAGTTTGTGCAAATCAAGCTAATTTTCCTTTCAATATTCATTTTGCTTTCAAGAACACCATTTGTGCTCATTTGTAATTATTTTTTAGTGTTCTTTTCTTGTTCTAGAATTGTGCAAACATCTTACCTTGTGAGGTTTTCCTTGTAAGTTTGCAAATTTGTGTATTTCTCTTTGAAAAAGAGTGTGCTCAAGAATTTGGGGTATAATTCTTGAGGGAGTTGTAAGGTTACTCTTTGTCCTCAAAAAGAAAGAACAAATTAGTGAATTTGTTGTAAAATCCTTAGTGTGGATAGCTAAGGTAGTGGACGTAGACTTTGGTTGAGAAAGTTGAACCACTCTAAATCGCTGTGCAAATTTCTTTCAATTTTCTGCAAAAGCTTCCACCAAAATTTTAATTGCCAATTCACCCCCTCTTGGCCATATTCGTCAATCGATTAACTCAACAATTGGCATCAGAGCCTAACTCATTTGAAGGTTTAATCGCCTCTTGAGTCGATTCGGGAAGAGTTATATCGATAATCAAAGTCATCAATGGCCTCTACTTCAAACTTCGACTCCGGTCTCGATTCGATGCCCGTCAACAAGCCTCCTTTCTTCAATGGGGCTAATTATGCCTATTGGAAAAATAGGATGATGTACTTCATTCAAGCAAGTGACATGGGAGCATGGAATGTCGTAGAAGAAGGATACTTCAAGCCTCTCACTCATCCAAGATTATGGAGTGAAGGAGAGACAAAAATGTTCCAGCTCAACTCCAAAGCCATCCATATCATATTTTGTGCTCTTGGACCAGATGAATACGGAAGAGTTTCATCTTGTACAACCGCCAAAGAAATATGGGACAAACTTCAAGTCACTCATGAAGGTACCAATGAGGTAAAGAAATCTAAAATTAGTATTCTAACGCATAGCTATGAAAATTTCAGGATGAAACCAAATGAAGATATCAAAGCTATGACGGATAGATTCTCAACGATTGTCAATGGTCTCAAATCATATGGAGAGATCATTTCAAATGAAAAGCTTGTGAGGAAGTTAGTCTACTCCCTCCCAAAATCGTGGCAATCAAAGAAGACGGCAATCATCGAGTCTAAGGATCTAACATCCTTAACTCTTGAAGAGCTAATCGGTTCACTCCTCACTCATGAAATGATGCTTGAAGATGAGGTGGACCTTGATAAGATTAAAGAGACAACAAAGGAGAAGGAGAAGAAGGAAAAACATTGGAGTTGCTCTCAAATCCACAAAAAGAGTGATTCGGATGAAGATGACGATGACGAGGAAATGGCATTGTTTGCCAAACGGTTCAGAAAAATGATGAGACCTTACCGAGGAAGAAAATTCAAACGAAATGAAGGCCTCAAAAATGAACCAAAAGATAAGGACCCGATCATTTCCTATGAATGCAAAAAGCCGGGGCATGTCAAATATGATTGCCCACAATTGAAGAGAAACGGTCAATCAAAAAATAAGCACAAGGCTCATGTGGCTACATGGAGCGATGAAGAAGGTTCCGATGAAGAGGAACAAGAAGTAGCAAACTTGTGCTTAATGGCATTCGGGGAAGATTCTAAGGTAACCTCTAACTCATCTGATTTTGATGATTTATCCTATAATGAGCTATTAGAGGAATATAATGGGTTGATTTCGGATTATGAGAAATTGTTTTTAAAATATATAAAAATGATGTTTCAAAATTGAAAAATGAAAATAAACTCATATCCAAAACCAATAACGATCTTAAAAGTAAAATCAAATATTTGCATATCAAACTAGAAGAGTTTGAAAAGAAAAATTTAGATTTTGCAAAATTTACTTTCAAAAGTCAATGATGATCATCAAAAGAAAATTGATGATATTAAAGCTTCTTTTGATAAAGTTGGAACAAAACGTTTTGAAAGTGGAGAAAATTCAAAATCTAACTTTGTTAGAAAACGTTTTAAAAACTACAATAATAGAGGTCCCCAAAGAACCTCTAATGGAAAAATCGTTAGAAGTATATGGGTTCCTAAGGAGCTCATTACTACTAAAGATAAAGATATCCTACACAAATGGATACCTAAGGGGACTAGGATTTTGGAAACTAATGAATATGGACCCAAAAGAATTTGGGTACCAAAAATTAGAAATTAATCTATGTTTGTAGGAAAAGGAGCATTGCTACAAGGCACGGGAAACAAATCCAAATTCATGGTACCTTGATAGTGGATGCTCAAGACACATGACCGGTGACAAAAACCGGTTCATTGAGCTTAATGCCAAAAATGGAGGAGAAGTGACATTTGGTGATGATTCAAAAGGTCACATTGAAGGTATTGGTACTATTGGTGATACCTCTTCCATACAAATTAAGAATGTTTTATATGTGAATGGATTAAAACATAATCTATTGAGTATTAGTCAATTTTGTGATAAGGGATTCAATGTCATGTTTGATATTAATGGTTGTAAAGTCATTGACATTGCATCTAATCGTATTATGCTTGTTGGTCATAGAATAGGAAAGATATACATGGTGCATTTAGATTCTATTGATATGACTAATTTGTGCCTAGTTGCTAAGGATGAACATGATAGTTGGTTATGGCATAGGAGACTAGGACATGCTAGTATGAGTGTTTTGCAACGGCTAATTCAAGGTGATTTAGTTCGAGGGTTGCCTAAGCTTAAATTTGATAATAATAAAATCTGTGATACTTGTGCTAAAGGAAAACAAAAGTGAGTTTCTTTTAAATCCATTAATGACATATCAACTAGTAGAGTATTACAATTAATCCATATAGATCTTTTTGGGTCAACTAGGACTACTAGCTTGGGTGGAAAACAATATGCATTTGTCTTGGTAGATGACTACTCTAGATATACTTGGGTTCTATTCTTAAGTACTAAAGATGAAGCATTAGAAAAATTCATCACGTTTTCAAAAGTAATCCAAAATGATAAAGGTTACTCTATAACCAGTGTTAGGAGTGATCATGGCACTGAATTTGAAAATCTTGGATTTACTGAGTTTTGTAATTCTAATGGTATTAGTCACAATTTTTCAGCACCTAGAACCACTCAACAAAATGGAGTTGTTGAGAGGAAAAATAGAACTTTAGAAGAAATGGCTAGAACCATGCTTTTTGAAAATAATTTGCCAAAATAGTTTTGGGTGGAAGCCACAAATATCGCTTGTTATGTTATAAATCGAGTAATGATTAGGCCAATTTTAAAGAAAACTCCATATGAAATTTTCAAAAATAAAAAGCCTAACATTAGCTATTTTCATCCTTTCGGATGTAAATGTTTTGTTTTAAACAACGATAAAGAGAACCTTGGCAAATTTGATGCTAAAAGTGATGAAGGAATTTTTCTGGGTTATTCCTTAAATTCTAAAGCTTATCGAGTATTTAATAAAAGAACTTTAGGGTCTGTTTGGAAAGGGGAAAACATTTTACGGAAAATGTTTTCCCTATTTTCAGGTGTTTGGTTCGCGTAAAAGTCTCAGGTCAACGTAAAACGTTTTACAGTCAATGGAAAACTTGGCTTAAACACGGTATTTCGACTTACCGTTTGGAAAAGTGTAAGTCGAAATCCAAAGCTTTCTCGCGGCCCTTGCTCCACACATAGAACACCGTAAATTCTTTCTCCCGTCCTTGCTCCACACCGGCGACTGTTTGGAATCCTTCTCATCCGCGAGGTGGACGGTCGTCTTCTCAGGTATGTCTCGTTTATTCTTCTCCCTTTTCTTTTTCCTTATAAGTCTCTCATTTATCGACTTCCCCTCATTTTTGCTTTTGAGCAAATAATGAATCTTTCAACTAAGCAGAGTGTTAATAGAGCTATGAATCCTTGGGCTCTTCATCTTCAAAAACTGGGTCTGGAGCTTAAATGTCCTCTCTGGTTTGTTCTCTCTCATTGTGCTGTGTTTTCTTTGTTTTTTTAATTTGAGGTTTTGAAGTTGATATTATTAAAAAAAATGTTATCTTGACAGTTTGAATTTTTTTAAACGACCATTGTTGATGCTGTGCGAGCATCTGTTTTGCGAGTTAGTACCATTTCTCCTTCTATCTTTATCTTCGCTTCTTAAATTTTTTGGTTTTCATTGCTTTCTTTTCATTTTTTTGTTTTTTAAATTGTTACAGTACGTGCATAGCCAGAACTGAGTTTGGCTCAGAGTGCCCTATTTGCAAAGACCAATCTGCAGATCGAGGTAATTTTCATTTAATTACTTCTATTTGTTTTTTTTGGTAAAACATTGTTGGGAGCTAAATAAGGTTAGTATCTGGGTTATCTTATTTTTAAACCCTATTATTTTTGTTTTGAACCATTTATAAGTTTTGAGTAGTTATTTTTTAAGTACTGTATCTTTGAATTGTTTGTGTTTTATCATGTTGAAAGGTGAAACTGATATATTTTTCAAGCATTGATTTCTTTTAATCGATCTTTTTCGTGTTGGAAATGGACGCATAGTATCTTACATGGAGATTATTTCGTTGATAAGATATCCTTGAATAGGCTTTTTATTTTAACAACAATGTACTCTTATTGTATATATTTATTGTTTTACCTTGTTGCAGTTCCTTTTGATCAAGTTTGCGAACATGATTGGTGCAACTGTATCCAAGTTTTGGAAGCCGGATGTCACTCATGTGATTGCTTCTACAGATGGGAATGGTGCATACACCAGGACACTTAAAAGTTCTCATGGCCATTTCAAACGGGAAGTGGATTCTTAATATAAATTGTAAGTTCAATTGTTCCTTTTTCCACTCTATATTCATAAGCATCTGTTTATTTTACTTTGTTGAATGCGTGCTGGTTGAAGTTCAAACACTAAAACAATAAGTTGTATCGTCACCACTGATATGTAAGCTTAACTTTACAGGGGTAAAGGAGTGCTTGAAAGCCATGCATCCTTTGAGTGAGGAACCTTACAGTTAGTCTCGATAACCACAGGTGTCGTGATGAAACTGGCAGACTCAGTATTGAATGATGTAAGTTATGTATGCTAGTTTTTAAAGTTGGCAACACTATTACCTTTTGCTTCGCAAGCAAAGTAACTTGTTCCTCTAGCAGGCACCAAAGCTCTTCGATTGCTTTAACTTTTATTTTGTGGGCGATTTCGTGTCTGGTTACAAGGAAGATCTTCAAAATCTGGTTTTCACCGTGGGTGGTATTGTTCTGATGAGAATGGAGGAACTAATCAAACATAATAACAGCGGTGATCAAACATCTCAAGCAAAGATGGTTGTTGTGTATAACCTGGATGCTCCCCAAGGATCCGAGTTAGGAAAAGAGGTTTTAATTATTTAGTAGAGGGTTAGTGAAGCACATGATTTAGCCTAAAAAATTAGAGGAACAAGTTACTTTCAAATGTGAACTTTAATGTGTTGTATTATTATTTATGACTTAGACAATATTTTAGCTCTAATGTGTTGTAGTATAGATTTCAGTATTTGTATTGTTGGTTTGATGTGTTTAGCACTAATTATGAATTAGACTATGTATTATTACGGTTGGATATTATTGTTGGTTTAATGTGATAAACCCTTTAATTATATATTTTGACACTATTATTATTAGTACAATGCTATGTACTATTGTTGTTTTTAATTTGATGTACTATTAATTAAACATTCTTAGGATTTATAAACTTTTATAATATATTTTTAATCAATTATTAATATTATCTAAAATACATATTTTTATAAAATATAATTATATATAAAAAATGAACCTTTAAAAATAATAAATAATAAAACATATTCAATATGTACAACTTCTTCATTAAAAACAGATTCTGAAAACAGTTTTCAGGAAAATTATCCAAACAGTGTAAAACATTTTACAATGTACCATCCAAACACTGGAAAATGTTTTCTGGAAAATGATTTACATTTCTGTAAAACATTTTCCAGATTTCATTTTCCAAAAAACTATTTTCAGTGAAACAAACAGACCCTTAGTTGTAGAAGAGTCTATACATGTTGTTTTCGATGATAATCCCCTTCCGAGGAAGGATTCTTGTGTGAATTATAATGTAGGTGTTATAAATACAAATGACGTTAGACATGACATTTGAGAACCATCATCAAAAGAAGAAACGAAAAATGAGGAAACTCATGATCCTCTTGAGAATCCAACCATTGAAGAAAGGGAAGTATCTTATCCAAGAGAGTACAACTATGTCAAGGATGGTGAAATTATAGGTGATCCATCCAAAGGGGTAACAACTCAATCTTCGCTTAGAAATATTTGTAATTATGTTGCATTTATTTCATGCATAGAGCCTAAGAATATTAAAGAAGCATTAAAAGATGAACATTGGATTATGGCTATGCAAGAAGAATTAAATCAATTTGAGAGAAGTAAAGTATGGACATTAGTTGAAAGGCCTAGTAATAAATCTACTGTAGGTACTAGATGGGTATTTAGGAATAAGCTTGATGAGAGTGGTAATATAGTGAGAAACAAGGCTAGACTTGTTGCTCAAGGGTATACTCAAGAAGAGGGCATAGACTATGATGAAACATATGCTCCCGTAGCTAGGATGGAAGCAATTAGAATATTACTAGCATTTGCATGTTTTCATGAATTTAAATTATATCAAATGGATGTTAAAAGTGCATTCTTAAATGGTTTTATAAAAGAAGAAGTGTATGTGGAACAACCTCCAGGTTTTGAAGATTCAAAATTTTTCGGATCATGTTCTTAAATTGACAAAAGCACTTTATGGTTTAAAACAAGCTCCAAGAGCTTGGTATGAAAGATTGTAAAAAATTTTTAATTGAAAAAGGTTTTTCAAAAGGGAAGGTTGACACTACATTGTTTTTAAAGCATAAAGGTAAAGATTTATTAGTAGTTCAAATTTATGTTGATGATATAATATTTGGTTCTACTACTGATGTTCTTTGCCAAGAATTTTCCAAGCTAATGCAAAGTGAATTCGAAATGAGCATGATGAGGGAGCTCTCATTTTTCTTGGGACTCCAAATCAAGCAAAGAAAAGATGGCATCTTCATCAATCAAGCTAAGTACATCAAAGATATGCTCAAGAAGTTTGGACTAGAAAATGGCAAACCTCATGACACTCCAATGAGCTCTTCAACAAAGCTTGACTTAGATGAAGGAGGTAAATGTGTAGATGTTAAATTATATAGGTCAATGATTGGATCTCTACTTTATCTAACTGCAAGTATACCGGACATTATGTTTAGTGTTTGCTTCTGTGCTAGATTTCAATCATGCCCTAAGAAATCACATTTACTAGTTGTTAAGAGAATCTTTAGATACCTTAAGGACACTCCTAGTTTAAGACTTTGGTATCCTAGAGACTCTAGCTTTAGCTTGCATGCTTTTTCTGATGCGGATTATGGAGGATGCAAATTAGATAGGAAAATCACCTCCGATACTTGTCAATTCCTTGGAAATATGCTGATTTCTTGGTTTTCAAAGAAACAAAATTGTGTTGCATTATCTACCACTGAAGCCGAATACATTTCAGCTGGTAGTTGTTGTGCACAAGTTTTATGGATGAAACAACAACTTTTTGATTATGGAATTGAAGTTGGTACCATTCCTATCAAGTGTGAAAATACTAGTGCTATTTATCTCACTAAAAATCTCATCCAACACTCTAGAACTAAGCACATTAAAATAAGACATCACTTCATTAGAGACCATATCACTAAGGAAGATGTAGTTCTAGAATTTGTTGATACTTTGCACCAATTAGCGGATATCTTTACAAAACCTTTAGACAAGGAAAGATTTTGGACACTTAGGAGCGAATTAGGTTTAACCAACCTATCTTCACTTAGTGTTTAAAATAATTTTAGCACTTTTAAGACTAAATGAAAAATGCTAATTTTTAATTGCATTCATTGCTATTAGTTAGGGGAGTTTATGATTCTTGATGAAAAATTAATTTTATGTTCAAATATCGTTTAAAGAATAACTTGATTATTTGAACATGATTAATTTTCAATATATGAGTTGTCAATACCACTAGAGAAAATTAATTTAGCATTTTATGTGTTTAAAATCAGATTTTAGCATTTTGGTGCATAGGTAATCGATACCCCCATGAGGGAACCGATTCCCCCTGTAGGGGAATCGATACCCCCATGGGGTTCTGGTTTTAACACGGGAAGAACCCAATATTTGCTCAAACCCTCTCTTCTTTCTTAAACATCGTTCATCCTCTCTTTCTCTCTCAATCTCCATTTTTGCCAAAATCATCAAATACAAGTCGGAATTAGATCTTTCTTCAACTTCTAATCCTTGCAAACAACATCACATTCTCATAAATCCAAATTTTCAAGATAATATTTCAAAATCCTCTATTTCATTGATTTTTGAACTTAGGACTAGTTTTGATTAGTTCTAAGATGAACATTACATCGGGTATTGGTTATATGATGATTTTACAACCAATTTCGTCAAAAACACTCAATTTTTCAAAATTATCTTTTAATTTTTAAAAAATTAAAAAATGTTGTTTTAATTGATGTTTTTGATTCAATTATGTTGTTTTCATAAAAACTATACGTATTATGATTTTCAAACATTATTTTCCAAATAGTTTTTCAAAACATTGCCCTTTAGTATTCGGTTTAGAGAAACTTGAAATATTGAAGACTCATTTGAGTTTTGGGTTTGATTATAATGCATACATGTGTTTAAATTTGCAGGTTACATATTCTATTTCGATTCTTAAACCATGTCAAATCCTAAACGACCTAGGACATTGTCTAGTCGCTCAAGTCAAATCCGACCTCTTATTCCTCCACCCAATCCAAATAACCAAAATATGACCATTTTGAACTCTTGTTTCACGTACCTAGTCGTAGACAAGATCTATACCATATGTACCATACTTGTTTTGAGTCATACAAAATCCGGGAAGAACGTATCCCTTCGATTCAAGCTATAGAAGATATGGACTTCCAATATCTTCCTACTCTTAAATCCTAGAAGTTTGATAAACTCTTTAAACTCAAACCTTTGATTTATCATCAATTAGTCAGCATTTTTCTATTCCAATGTGGCATATGTCCAAAACGAGCGCCGATATGAAATTATAGGAATTCGATCCTTTCTTTTAGGATAATTCATTTTTAGTGAGAGTACCCTAAGAACTCATCGTGATAAATTCCTTCATTATTTGATCTCTTGGTAGTTTAGACCATCCGGAGGTAGGTACTCCTCCCTTAGGAACATAGATATATGGTGGATATATTGTATCCAACATAAAAAGAAGATTAATCTGCCACATATCATCTTTAGTGAGTTTCCATAAACATTGTTCATTCCAAGAATATAGAAACCTTGGTTTATGGTTGTCTCCTTAGTAATTTGTTTATCAAACTCGGTCTTTGGGTCAATGGGTTTATCGTCCCGAACTCAGAACTTTTAATTATGAAACATTTTGATGTTCATGGATTGTTTTATTTTGGGTGTTTGAATTTGTTGGATAATTGGATATTTGAACTTACATGCTTATATATTTGGTTTGATTTTCACTTTCATTTTGAGCTTAATGTTTATTTTTGCTTCATTTATAGTTGCATTATGACCAATTTTTGTCATTTCACATTGTTTATGAATATTGAATTATAGAACTAATGGCTAATCTTTCTCTTGATTATGATATTAGCAGCTTACGCTATATTTAGTTATCAATTGGCTAAATGATTTCAAAAACCTTGTTTAAAATCTTTTACGAGTCTTTTTGATTTAACAAAAAGGGGGAGAAAAGTGTTAAATGTTTTTAAAGGGGAGAAGTGTTAGAGTAAGGGGGAGTAATTTCAAAACTTGATTTCAAAATCTTAAAATTACTAAAATGTTTTGTTATATCAAAAAGGGGGAGATTGTTGAAAACATTTTGATATTTCGATATAACAAATTAAGATAAATGAATTTTAAGATTTTTCAAAAAGAGTTTTTAAGTATATTCGATATAATT